ATGCAAATGATTCCGTGTGTACGTCTTGCAGGTAATCTCGAAGTCGAGAGGCGGCTCGGCGTGCAAGTTCGCATGGCGATCGTTGGCAAAACGGTGAATCGTCGGCAAACCGGGTACACGTGTACGCGAACGAGGAAACGACGGAGAGCACCGTTTCGAATGTAAATAGGGCGACCGACCGTGTTTTCCCGTGGACTAAACGTAAGAAGGACTGCACCCGCCTGATGCAATCGACTACCCCATACCCTCCGCCGGCAATAAAACGCCACTTCCTCGTAGTTCCTTAACGTATCACGCTCGGTTGCTTTAATATCAAATATTTAGAGTTCGCCTAGCGGCGTAAATCGCGAGTTCTTATCGGCCAGCCGATAAGGCCCGTGGCTACGTGGCAGGCTACTTAGCATAACAATCGTACCGAGGCTGCGTTCTCTTTCCTTTTTTTTTTTTTTTTTTTTTTTTTGACCAACGCGGTAGTCGCGACGAATGGCAACGATTAAATTCAAGAGACTGGCTGCGCCTCGAGCGAGCCAATAAAAATCTTTCATAGCCAGAACGGTTTATTGGAATAAAATTGTAGCCAACGCGATCGATCGAATCCGCTTGTGTGAATTTACACGTAAATTATTATCGGTATTTCAAGTCGTTTTTGTCTCCTGGCAACGAGCTCGGACAATTCGAAGGAATTTTTTACCACGAAACTTCCATCTTGAATTTGTGTTTCTCTTCCTCTGGGAACGATACCTTTATCCTCTGGAGCCAGATCGAAGTACGCATTCAATTTCATTATCAATGAAATAGTTTCCCTTGTAAAAGCTGCAAAGAGCCGCGTTCGCCGCCGAGGGGGGGGAGGAGGGCGAAATTAGAATCGATTCTAATTAGCAGACACGGCAGCCGAGATTCTGATGAATAATTCATGGGCCACGCACGACCACAATTTTCGCGAGAAACAAAAACCAGAAATTCTCAATTACACGTAGGGGTTTCTTCGTGAATCGGATGATTTACAGCGAAATGCAATCTCGTAGAATAGCGAGAACTTATTGCGGAACAAGAAAAAGCAGCCGATGGTTTACCTGCTGCAGTTGCTTGCTTCTTGATATGGTGTTAACATTCTTCGGCTGTGCCTCGTAACCTCCATTATGCTGCAACAGAGAAGAGGAAAAAATACTGATTTATATATTACGATATATTATGAGAAAGAAGGGGGAAAGAAACAGCTCTTAACTAGTGCATATTTGGAACATCATGTTGGATAATTTCACCGTGGAGGTTAGGTCAAATTCTACTCTCAATCTTAATCTTTCTGAGAATTATTCTAATAATAATTGACCCGATGATACACTCTTTTTTCTACGTACGAAAATTTTTATCAAAATTTTCTACGTAAAATTTACTACGTAAAAAATTTTTATCAAATTTTTCTTTCCTCTACTTCAACTCTAAACACCATATTTACAAGTATTTTTACAACATTTTTATCAACGTAAATTTATTTTACACTTCTATTCTCTTCCCACACCGAAAGTGTGACTTCGTCATTGCTGTCCAAGGATTAAGGGCGTCGCTAAACGAAACGGGTTGGCTGTCACGTCTCAGAAACGATAGCAAATACCACGCGGTAAATTATTTCCATTGTTCGGGCTGAAAGCAGCTGTTGCGTGAATTCGGGCGGACACGCGGATACGCGTCTGATAATAAACATCATCGATTGCCGTTGCTACGATTCGCGTAAATCCCCAATGGCCTGTGAAAACAAATGTCCAGTTTCGCGGCCGCGATTAAATTTCCCAAATCGCAACTCCACCGCCCGTAATTCTTTATTTCAATTCATTTCATTTCATTTCGTTTATCCTCTTTCCTTCCTTTATTTTCGTTCGCTCGTCCAGAACGAACGAAAAATCAGCGAAAAAAGAAAAATCAAACTGACGAGAGGCAACACCCACGCACCTCGCTCTCTATATGGAGGGCAGTGTGCCAAACGGTGAACGCGATGCGATGCAAGAGAGTTTCCGTCTCCTCCCGCAGCGGTGTCTCCTCCTTCAGGTTATTGTTCATCGTGTCCTGGCGCGTGTCGCCGCAGCGACAGCAATTTGCTCGCAGCCAAGCGCGCGACAACGAGCTACTGTTCGAGTTTGTCATGGTAGCCCCGATGGAAGCACGATGCCTTGTTTACATAACTTATTTCAGTCAGTTTTTACATTAGGCTCGATCGACGGCCTGAATGATGAATCGATCTGGCAATACGATTTTTGGTTCTTCTTCTCGCACCTCCTTAAGTAATCTTCTTTCAGTCCGAGCCACGTGTCCGGGGGTTGTACGTCGGCGCTGTGACGCGGGCGTGCTCGTTACGAATTGTTCCGCAAAATCGGGCACCGCCTTTCCTCATCTCCTCCGATCCACCGAGAAACCGCGATCTTTGCCAACAGCGTGCGATGATTAGAGAATCTCGTCGTTAATTTCTCGATGCCTGTCAAACGTGTTTCGTCCGCGTTTCGTCCGCGTTTTCATCGCGCCTCGTTCCTCCAACTTCTCCGTAAACAGAGAGAGAGAGAGAGAGAGAGA